CTTCTTAAGACATGGCTGGCGTGTGCCCTTTGCTCTTTTCCTGCTTGTCCCTCCTCCATCCTGCCTCTGGCTCTGGTGGCTGGCTATCTGGTGGCCATCGCGGCCCAACGAGGAGGGCCACACCAGCGATGGTAAGAAAATAGGAGAGTAGAAGGACTTGGTCCCTAGTGCTTCACAGAAGCTCTACACCTGCCCTGGCCTATGGCTACGACACTTCTTTGACTCCTCTTTTGGGTTTTCTCTCATATGAAACCCAAACTATCCTTTACAAATACGTTGCAAACGGCACTTAAGTATCTGTAAGTAAGCCTCAATGTGTTCTTGGGTCAAGAAGAAATAACGTTTCAAATGTCACGAGTCATTTTGCGGGTTAAATGAGATCGTGTGGGTGGCCAAAGGTGCTTAGCACAGTACTGCTGACTCACTAATCTCGAAGCAATTGCCTCGCATAAGCAGACACACAAAGAACAGTAGGGGCCTATGGTGACCATGACTATTCCAAGGTGGCGAGCGGCAGTTCGGGTTTTAAATTCAACAGCTGAACCTCACATCCCGAACCCTTTCTGCTAAAATCGAGCCAAACTTGCTGTGACTATTCCTCTTATAGACACTGTGGATTCTTGGATCTTAATCTACCATAAAAAGCTACAGCAATCCTCCTCTTAATCCATTTAGGGTTGAAAACTGGGAAGACCATCTTTTTTTCTAGCATTAAAGTTATTTTAGCCAGCAGGAAAAAAAAAGAAAGTAAGAAAGAGAGCAAGTGGGTGCCTTGGTGGCTCAGTGGTTGAGCATCTGCCTTCAGCTCAGGTCGTGATCCCAGGGTCACGATCAAGTCCCGCATCGGGCTCCCCACAAGGAGCCTGCTTCTCCCTCTGCCTGTGTCTCCGCCTCTCTCTCTCTCTCTCTCTCTCTCTGTGTGTGTGTGTCTCTCATGAATAAATAAATAAAGTATTTTTAAAAGATAGGAAAAAAGCCTTCTAGTATCCCCTTCCCAGATTTTATGCTAATACTCCCATGGGGGCTCTTAACCTGAGACCTACTACAGGTGTCTTGGGTTCGGGGGCCTGTGAAAGACCTTTCCGAGAAACCGACACAGGGACATCTCAGTGACTGTGGATATAGTGAATTTGGGGTGGTACCAAGCTGTGTGAGCTTGGTGAGGAGAGATTTGTAATTGGTTAGTTCAATGGCCCTGAGCTGGAGCCCCCGATCTTGAAGCCGGGTGGGACCTAACCCATCCTTTCTCATTCCAACTATGGTCACTAACCGGTAACAAGCTAGTAAGAAGCTGCAGCCTAACAACCACTGTCATGATTATTTATATTCCAAATCAGACATCTATAAAGAACAGTTCGGAAGAACAAGTGCCATGTATTAGCTGCAACGTGGCTGGCACTGTTTTAAGCACTTCACATAGATTAACTCATTTAATCCTCACAACGTGATGAGTCAGGTGACAGTTATTATTCCCAAGAGGAGGGAAAAAAGCAAAGTTGAGAGCCACTGGGTAATTCTTGCCAAATAATAACACTCAGCCACTTAACGACGGAACCAGATTCAAACTGGGGGAGACTGGGTCCTGAACCTTCTGCCTTCCTCCTCGTGCCCTTCATTCTTTCTTCCAATACTGCATGGACCAGGATGGAGACAACTTGCTTCCATTAACCCTCATAACGATGGAACCTAGTCTTAGAAGAGGTTTATTAGAAATGCATGCATTGAGGGGCACCCCGGTGGCTCAGTGGATGAAGCATCTGCCTTCAGCTCAGGTCATGATCTCGGGGTCCTGGGGTCGAACCCCTGCATCAGGCTCCCTGCTCGGGCTATTTCTCCCTCAGCCCCTCCCCCTTCCTTGCTGGTGCTCTCTCTCAAATCAATCAATCAATCAAACAAGGAAAGAAATACATGATTTGATCAGGAAGTAAAGCCAGCAGCATTTCTACAAAACCAAGTCAAGTACAGAGGATGCCACAGGGATGGAGGAGAAAATATTACATTATCCTAAGGAACATAAATAGTTACCTCCAGAAATAAATCTGGACTGGGGAAATGGGCCTGGGCAAATAGATGTAGAAGAATACAGAGACACAGGACTATATGGCTTCCCATACTAATGGGACGCTGCTCTGGAGATCGTGGGCTCTGGTTTCGGCCTTTACCGACCTGTGTCATCTCAGACTTAGTTGATGATGCTTATTACTAAAATATATAAAATAGACTGAGCTTTAGTTTCTCCAACGCTGAAAATGTGAAGACACTGCACTCCAATGCCAGGGGCTTGTTCTGATGCTACGTGGAGAATTGGCAGGGACATAAAGCACTTTGAAATAAAATCACTATGTTCTCTAACCCAATCATTACTTACGAACCTACTTAATATGCTCTCTATTGATTAGAAGATCCAACATTCTACATACCTAATTCTGAACATTTTCTTAGATTTTGATCTTTTGCGCATAGCATGTCAATGTCCAAGGAAAATTCCCCTGCTGTGACCTTCAGGCCCACATTTGTTTCACTTGAACAAAATAGAGTTCGTTGCTATTCTCAGGCTATAATGAAAATTAAGGCTATTTCTGTTTCCTTCACGTGCCCCATAATTACACAATTAGAATTAGGAGTCCTATTATCGGAATGTTAGTTGTAGTAATGTTCAGCCTACCATGCAAATTTTGCTGAAGTACGCTTAATCTGACTGCTAAAATACATGGCATCTCAAAGGTAGGATTTGCATTAGGAAACTCATAAAAAGCAATTCTTAGAAAAACTCGAAACTAAAATCCTTCACGGGACTGTCAAGCAGAGTGGGTACTCACGTTTCCTCTGACCACATAATTAGAATCATTCTTGATGTCTCTGGCTAGACCAAAATCACAAATCTTTGTGATTCGACCGTGAGTAAGGAGGATATTTCTAGCAGCCAAGTCTCTGTGAATACACTATTAGGAGAGTGGGAGAGAAAAAGAAAACCATTTACATTTATTTTAAACTCTTCAAGAATGAAAACTCTGTTCAACACGAGGATGCTGCTATGTCACACAAATCCAGTACCTTGGCTTTGCCTTGAAACTCTTCGGTGCACCAAAAATAAAGATCTAAATTACGCTCTGAACGATGCTCGGAATTTGTGTTTCACATCGTTTAGGACCTTAATTACGATAGTCGCCTTCCAAACCAACTCGGATAATTTTTTTTTCTTCTTATGACTTGCTTTCATTCATAGGAAAATACATCATAAATAGTCGTATCGTATTTTTTAAACCAAAACCTCATTTTGCATGCTTCTCTTTGAATGTCCTTTTATAGAGTTTTTAAAATGTCTTTGCAACTCCAATTTGATGCCTCCCGAGGACACAGGGAAGAGGCTCTTTATTTCAGCCATCCCATATCCCTCTTTTAGTTTCGTGATTGTTTGGAAATGTCACCAATGACACTTAAGGGTAGGATCTGTTCCCTCCTCCTGGTCTGCTAGTCTCATTCGCTACTGAATTCCTCTCACCCTTCCAGAGACCATGTTCCTTCGTTCTCTTCCCATTTCTACCTTTTTCCCAAATGCTTATTATTCTCTCCGATTCCTTATTCCCCCACACTTCATGAAGCCACACGATATCTGAGGCCCAACTTCAACAAGACCCAAGCATGTGCTTCACCGAGCGCTGCAATTGCATGAGGTTCCTCCTCCCTTTGCTGATGAAACCATTCTCTATTTTCTAAGAGCAGCTCCTGTATTCTAAGAGCCAGGATTTTTATTTTTTTTTCAGCAGAAATTATTTCTTTTTTTATTTTATTTTATTTTTTTATTTACTTATGATAGTCACAGAGAGAGAGAGAGAGAGACAGAGACACAGGCAGAGGGAGAAGCAGGCTCCATGCACCGGGAGCCCGATGTGGGATTCGATCCCAGGTCTCCAGGATCATGCCCTGGGCCAAAGGCAGGCGCCAAACCGCTGCACCACGCAGGGATCCCGAGAGCCAGGATTTTTAAATGGATTTGCTACATTAAAAAAAAAATTCATAGAAAGTTCATTTAGACAGGCTTACACTTTAAAGCTTATACATGAGAATAGGAATTCCAAAAAGATAGTGGTTGGAACATGAAGAAACGAAATTTCCCCTGTTTTGGGTCACCACACTTCAAAACGACACTGTGCATTCTATGAACTCTAAAATGCGCCACTGGGGTTAGGGGGTTGTGGGGGTTGGCACGGCGGGGGGGGTGGTGGTGGCAATACTCCTGGAGAACCACATCCACTCACATTCTTCGAGGCCAGGAATGCCATGCCCTTGGCCACCTGGTAAGAAAAGCTCAGTAAGTCGTTTAGATCTAGAGCCAACTCATCATCTTCCATGACGGCGGGAGTCACATCTCTTTCTTGGCGTGAGCCTGTTAGGAGAAGAAGGACTTTCTTAGCAATTAAGCCTCAAAGCTTGGAAAACAGAAGACAGCACAACAACAATACCAAAGGTTGGTAATAAGGAACTGATGTGACCGCGCAGGCAAGTCACCCACGCAGCGTTGAGGAAAGGTAAGTGCCCAAGCACCAAGTTCATATTCACAGTCTGGGGCTTCAGGGGAGAAGGATGGTGGATAAATACACAAATCTCCTATTTTTTTTTGATGTGTAAAATACATAGTTGATACACATATATCTTCATTGGTGCAGTGAGATGCTCCTATACGATGACGAACACTCTCCCACCCCAATGCTCACTTGGAACCCTGACCTGCCACTGACCAGTGGCTCTGCCGTCGGGCCCTCCTGGAAAGGAGAACCAGTCACCGTGGGGCATGGTAATGTATTTCCCAGCAGTATGAGAAAGCCTTTGTGAATGAAGTTGTTTTTATTATTTGACAGGTACCCACCTATTCTCGCAGATCTCCTTCTGCCTGCCTCGGTTGGCACGACGTAAGAAACGCTGGGTTTCATGTCCATGTATCCATTAATACTGTTGCTGCTGTGAGAGATGAAATATCCATCCGTCAAATTATGACTGAATAAAATGGGAAAATGGGGGAGTTCCCATGGGGCAGGCTCTATCTCCCCACTGCCTTTTTACGTAAGAGGCTGATTTTATTCAGAGAAAGTATTACTAGGTTCGAATGAAGAAAAGCTTGTTCATTATGCAGGAGTTTTTAATATTCAACATCAGGGCCCGATGCCCAGGAATGAGACGGTCTCTTTTGTGTTCATAGATGGGACTCAGGTTAGAAATGTCCCATCTCTTGACACCAGAGGTGTAATGGGAAACAGAGAACCATAAACAGTATCCCCTGTTCCCTCAAAGTCTCAAATTAGCCCCAAGAGACAAGATGAAAGACACAAGAAGGACGAGAAGAGCAGGAGCTCTGAGACGTGTGATGGGGAGGAAGGCAGGGATCGCTAACATAGAGCGACTGATGGAAGAAGGTCTAAAAAAGGCAACTTTAGTTCAGATAAACACCAATAATTTGGATGATTTTCTGAACCATCTGGACCTCTTGAATCTGCAACATTTGGCTGGAAAGTCTTCAAGATTTCTAGTACTTCCTGCTTCTGATTAGCATAGAAACACTATGACAACAATCTCCTTCAGAGTGCGCTGGTGGTTCCAGTCCCATATGGGATCCCAAAGCACAGAGAACACGACATCGGATAGAACAATTTGAGCCATTATTTCAGCAAGTTGAAAAACACGTATGGGGCCAAGGTTCTAGAAATAAGGCAAAGTGGCTCATTTATTCACATAAGGAGCATATGCTCTGGAGAAACTAACCAAAGGTGGTTTGTAATGTGTTTTACTACCACTTGACACTACCCAAGTCTATAGGACTAAAAAAAAAAAAAAAAAAGGACAATGAAAAGGCTTCACCTGGGGTGAAGAAACCCTTTAGTCAAGGGGTACAGAAAAGGTCTTTAAGAAGTAACCCCCCATCAGTAATAGTTGCTGAGGCCTTCTCGAGGGCCTGGAGCTAAGTTTAAGAAACACAGTCTTGCCATCTCAAAACGTAGGGGACAGAACGAATAGAAAGGAGAGGAAAAAATCCACCACACCACTTCAGAAATATAAAGTATAAGGGATTGGGCATGACGAATATGATTTCTGTTGGGCTGGGGGCATCTAGGGAATCTTCCTCAACCTTTAGAAGGAACAGGCCAGGCCAGGCAGAGAGGAATCCTATTCTGGTCGTTAAGCCACACTAATTGTTCTTAAAGGAATCTGAAGCTCTGTGCACGTCATTCAAATTCAGAAGGATATTAAAGAGGAAAAGAGATGAAAATAAGGTACAGAATTTTTAAACACGTGCTAGAATCGTTGTGCCTTTTTATGGCATGACTGAGTTTTTTTTAAAAAAAAAAAAAAAAAAAGAAGGGCAAGGTATACGGAAATAATTCAGAGGTAGATGGGGAGAAACCTACGTGCAGGGGTATGTTCAGAGCTCCTTTGCCACTCCGTTAAAGGTTTTCGAGAAATTTACCAAGACAACTTGACAGACTTTAGCATTTTTCCTACAAACAGTGTCTCACTGCAGAGATGCATACAGTACCAAGCCCAACAGAATAAATGAAAGGACACACGAGAATAGAGCCCTGATAAGTGAAACAAGTACAGAATTATTCAATCGAACAGAACACTTTGAAAAAAAAAAAAGCTAAAGATGCATTAAAAAAATCAATAAAAATCTAAGTTCAACGCTATTTAAATCTTTACAAACGCCGTTCAAACTTTCTAAATCGTCGACGACACCTAAATGATTTAATGATTCTGATTTGGCGCGCCTCGAAGTACCTCTGTTCATTTGTTGAAAGAATCAGCCTTGACTGCAAACCCTTTCGACCCCCTGAACTGCCTGTTGACAGCGATTGATGTGAATCAGTCTCACCAGGAAGGCTCCTTCGAATGCAGAAGGTTCTTATAAAGTGCCACTTCTCCGTGATCTTCCTGATTGGAGCCAATAAATGAATCACGTTTCCTTCGCAAAAAATTCGAAAGATCACCATAGCAACAATATTCCGTAATGACCAAGGTGGGCCCTGCAGATATGTAAGAGAAGGTGAAAGAGAGGTGAGCTCTCTAGACGACCCTGCGCCCTTTACATAGACTCAGGGGCCATCATGACCGGTTTCATTCAGGTTCCTTGATAAGGCAGATACTTAGCAGGCTCGGCAAAAACCAGCATTCTGAGGAGGACGACTCAACAAGTAAGCCTCCTCGTACCCCTCCCTAAGCGAGGTCAGGGCTCGGGGCCTGGCCTGACCTACATCCAAGTTACCAGCTTCCAACAATATCCTACAATCATCATAATTTCCTGCACGAATCCTTCCATCCACTTCGCTCTGCATCAGGGCTTCACACCCTCTCCTCATGTTATTATGGAGATGACGAAGGGCAGAAAGTGCAGCCTCAGAGGAAAACCAATGGCACGGGGTGGCCAGCTGAGATGACCCTGGAGAGGGGGAGCACCTGGCACGCCGGGACACCACCTGCCTTCTGAGCACCACCGGCCACCGGTGTTTCCGGGGCTGTAATTAAACCTCACGCTGCAGCTCTGAAGCCAAGAGGCACCCGATTAACTTGGGCAGGAATTTTTGCCAACAGGTCACGATGTGGAAGCAACATTAATGGGGGCTGTTTTAAGAAGTAAGTTAAGCCGTCAACTTGACTGCGAACCTCAGTACATCTTGAGGAATGGCTCATTCTACACATCTCTGTTCCTTTAGACCAAAAGGTTTTCTGGAAACATCGCAGAAATCCTTGAGGGAAGGCTCTACCTCAGAATTGCTTCCAACTGGAAATATACTTTTTTTTTTTTTTTTTTTTTTTTTTGCCGAGGTGAAGTGTTTTGTCTCATTTGGTGTGTACTGGAGAACTTGCAGGCTTCAAGGTCTATCTTTAATTATGGATAGTGACCCTTTAGTGACTAGATGTGCTCCGGTAAAATAGCTTGCAAGATAAAAGAAAAGTTTTCTGGAGGAGATGAGAGGTTCTCGAGGTACTCAAGAGGTTGATGCTGATACAACGCCCATGACAGTAACTAGGGCATGTCCCCATGGTGATAAAACTCAAATATACATTCTTAAGAATGGCTTTTGGGGCAGGGGTGTGAAACATCTACAAGAGGTAACAACCCGGGTAAAAATCTTGCAGTAAGATATAACCAAGCACTGTCGCAATCATATTAAGATCTCCCCTCTTTAGATAATTCGAAAGATGACGAAAGTCGATTTGGTCATGGCCCTACCTCCAACGGTGCATGCTCCAAGAAGATTCACAATATTCATATGATTACCGAGGTAACTCAAGACTTTGAGCTCAGACATTAGGGCTTCTTGTTCGGTTAAATTGGCATTTGCTAAAATCAGAAAAAAATCTCATTTTAGCAAGAAGCAAATCTGGCAAGCCAATGTTGAGGGCATGCAGCCACCTGCAGAAACTTACGTTTGAGCATCTTAACGGCAACGGTCATGGCCGCATCTGACCCAGCCAGGCCATATGCAATGGCTTCAACCACTTTCCCGAAGGCACCAGCACCCAAAGTTTTCCCTGCAGAAAGGAAGAAAAGACTAAGGGGTGGTGGTAGGACCAAAGGAGCATCTGGGCAATTTCAAAGTCAACAATCGAGGAATTGTTAAGGAATTAAGGACAAATCCAGCTAGAGACATTTCTCTATAAGGTGCTTTATGCGGAATCTATCAAAAGTGATGGAACTTCACAGAAAATACTTATTGTCTCAGTTGGAACAGAACAAAGGAAGCTAATGGGGTTCCCTAAAGTCCCTGTTACACGTGCACAAAAACGTTACATGGAAAGCCCCTGTTTCATACTGACCAAACCTCAGCCTGTGTCTGGGAAACTCCCATCTGTGATCGTAAGGAAGCTGTGTTGGGTCTACGTAAACATAATTGTTTCCATTGATCTCCCCAACAACCCTCCACTGTAGTTCATACATGGGTTTCTGGTGGGGGGAGAAAAGAGAGACAGATCATCTTTTAATGATAACAGTTCGATCATTATGGCACTTGGGGCAGAGAACAAATGAATGGTTACCTGTAGATATTTGTAGGTAAGAATCATCACGATAATGCACATGATTCCAGCTGCGGTCACAAAGCCAATCAGCAAAGGTGTGAACAGGGTGTGGGAATGGATCTGTTCTAAAATGAAAGGGGGATGCGGAATCACAACGTATTAGCAGGGGTGGAGCTTCATGACAACCACCTGACCCCAAACTCACCCATCCCCCGCCTTACAGACCATGGCAGGATTCAAAGCCAAGGGCATCTCATAAACTCCTTGCCTTGCTAATACTACCTTCCTCTGGTTATTCAAAGGGATCTCTCGAAGGAACGACCTCAAACCAGACTACTGTGCAAGTTGAGATTTCTGTAGCCCACAGATAATTCTATGGCTGTTTTGTCAATGAAAAGCAACATAATAAGTGAACTTTGTATTTCAGCTAAATTCCTGCCTTGGACAACTTTAAGAAGTTTCCTTTACGGATAGTTATATTTTCTTCCTTGGGCTTTCCTATATTTTCCAGATTTTCTACACTGATGAGAATTTCTTTTACAACCAAGAAAATATCTTTAAAGTGTTCTTTTCATTGCCTGAGGGGGAAAAAAAAAACCTGTGATGAAGAACAACGTAAGACTCTTCCCCTCGTTACTCAAAAACCGGGAGTATAGCACTTACTGGCACACACCTTTGCCAACTCAAGAAAACAAAACCAAGCGCTGGGAATGTAGAGGCCCAGCTTCTTTGTCTTCCACCTTCATACCAACTCATCAATGTATCCACAAGGATCATTTAACTTAATGTTCAGAGCTAGTCCCTCATGGATCAAATCTGGCAGACACGAAAGAAATGGCTCACTGACATGACTTCATAAAAGGCAACGTTAACTTTCTCGTATAGCATCCGGCAACGTGTTCAAACACATGATTTTCAAGGAGTAAAATTAAAATTTTTAACTGCCCTAATTCTGGTCATATCTGGCTGTGAGGCAAATATAATTCCCTATTTTCTTTCCCCGCCCCTTTTCAGTAGGAATGACTGGAAATACGCGATTCACTACACACACACGCACACGCACACGCACACGCACGCGTACATACCTACGTGTAAATATACATGTATGTGGTTGAAATCACTGCGTACGTGTTATCAACAAACTAGTACAGGATGAAACTTAGTGAGTTTGATGACAGCATGGTATAATGTGGAAATTACCAGAAATGACTTGGTCATTGATGGGATGGACTTAAAATCATGATTGATGTGGCCGGCAGAGCCTAAACGTCCCCTTACATTGGATCAAAAAGAAATATACCTTCGCCATTACCTTTAAATGCAAAGTTAAAAAAGGCAGAACTCCTGCCTACATTGTTGTAAGCCCTACACTCGACTGTGCCATTGTGCTTGAAGGCACTATAATCGATGGAGCTCTGAACCACTAGTTTTCCAGACGGTGACAGAGACGAGTTTTGCATCTGCACATCCATTGGCCCAATAGGGACAGAACATCTAGAGGGAAGAGAAAATAACAGCCCGGATTTACTCTAGGAAAATCAATCAATCAATCAATCAATCAATCACATTGGAATGGGCATACGTTTAAAACTAAGGGAGTGGGTCATGATCAGAAATGTCCTTTTTCAACCAAGGGTGTGAGGATGCATGAGCACTCCCCTGGCGCTGTGAGCAAGAGAAGCAGGGCGGAAAGGAAGAAATGGGGAGTGAGACAGGAGTTTGAATCCAGATTCAAATACCTGTTTGGTTGACAAGCTACTTAAAACCCTCCAGGACTCCGTTTCTACAGCTAGAAGGTCGGGATGGTAATACCCACTTTGGAGAGCTACGGAAAGGGCTGGAAAGGAATGGAAGAAAGGCAGCGGGCACACAGTAGGCCTTTATAAAGTAACTGTGAAAGGGTACATGTGTGAGGGTTGACAAGAGAGCTTAGAGGAGGAGAGAGTTCAAGTCTGCGAGAATGAAGGCAGGTCAGCCCCCCAAATCCCAGCAGCTGAGGTCCTGATCCAGGTTTTAGAGGGAGACAGAGGCCGGACCACTGGCTTGTACTCCAGGTAGCAAAGCCCATCCATCAGGGGCTGGACCCCCAATTTATTTTTTTTTATTTTTTTTATTTTTTATTTTTTTTGGACCCCCATTTTAAATCACGTCCCCCATATACCTAATATTTTTCTATTCCCTTACACCTTGCTTGGTTTTTCTCATTAGCACTTACCTGTTTATTTCATCTTTTGCTCACCTCTCTCTACCCATTAGATATGAACTCACAAAGCTGGGACTCCGAGGTGTGTTTGGCTCACTAGACCAGGGTATGGCATACAAGTGGCACCCCATAAATATTTGCTGTATGGAGAACAGTAACTGCTGGGGTTACTTCCACTGTAGGGGCTTTTCCAGGGGCCCCGGGTCCTTCTTACTGTTCCCCGAAGGAAACATTCCACTAAAACGCCGCTGAAAACAACAGTCCTACGTAACCTCTTCCAACGTGCTGTGATAAAAAGGACTATTCTGTGAGAAATGAAATCTCTATTATTATCCTGACTATTCAATTGTGATGTTACACTGGGCTTTTAAAAGCCCGAGCGCAAAATAGCATTTGATGGATAAAAACAGCCATGGTGACCCCATTTTCATCTCCAGGTAATGTGAAAGGACCATTTAAGGCTTAAGTGCAGATTGGAAGGGAGAGGGAGCACCCTGCCGGATGTGCTCTGCTCAGGGGCCGGGCACCTAATCAAGGAGGAAAAAAAAAAAAAATTTAAAAACCCGCAGCTTACAAATGCCGTATGTATGTTGTAACTGCACGATCATTACTTTTTGGTAACTTGGCAATTAACTTCGAGGCAATTTTTTTTTTTCATGAAAACTACAGCCACATCTCCCACACACGTTGCCTCCTGTGTACAGAATGGAAATCTAATTACTCTGTCCTGGAAAATTGCTTTATCTACCTGCAGGCTAGAAACTGCACGATAAATCCAGAAGATAACCACCAAGACAGAGAAGTAAGTCACTCAGTAATCATGTCTCAGCAAACAAAATTAATGTCTACCACGAAAAATATGGCAATTATGCCCCCCTTAAGAAGCCACATGGGTAGGGAAAAAAAGGATAATCAAACAAAGCTTTAAAAAAAAGAATCTGGGATCCCTGGGTGGCGCAGTGGTTTAGCGCCTGCCTTTGGCCCAGGGCGCGATCCTGGAGACCCGGGATCGAATCCCACGTCGGGTTCTCGGTGCATGGAGCCTGCTTCTCCCTCTGCCTATGTCTCTGCCTCTCTCTCTCTCTGTGTGTAACTATCATAAATAAATAAAAAAAAATTAAAAAAAATTAAATAAAAAATAAAAAATAAAAAAAAGAATCGGAAAACCTATCTGAAGTTCAACTACCCTGCTGTCCTTCCCTCGTGCACGTTAAGTAGTAGCCAAAATAATCCCCTCACCTCTGCTCAGCTCCTGGACAGAAATACCAATCTACCGCGGGCTCTGGGAATCCTGCAACCACACACTGGAGCATGCCATTCGTGAGACTTTCGAGGGTCAGGATTTCTGGCTTTGCTGTAGGAAAAGAGAAATGGCCATAGGTCAGGCTGCCGGAACACCTCACCAAGGCTCCCCTCCACGGTTTCCGAATCCTTAGAACTTTCTTGAGTTTAAAGAGGACCCTGAGGGGACATAGTCAAAGGGGAGCATCGGAACCAGTGATGGAAGGCACAGGGAGGCAGAAGCGAGGGTCAGACCAGGAAAGGGTTTCCCCCCGTTTAGAGCTGCCTGGCTCCATTGTGGACTGTCCACACTGCAGGTGACAACTCCCTGTCTGGGGTCGAGTGAACGGAGGTGGGGTTCGCAGGACCCCCGGCCGGGTTTCTGCTTCCAGTTGGGGGTGGTGGGGGGCAGAATTTGCAAGACTGCTTCTAATCCAAACTTTAGGATTCCAAACTGTTGTGAAGGTGGAAATCGTGTTTAAGGTTCTTGCCATCAGACTTTCAAATTGCTGAACCTGTCATAGAGAATTTCAAGTTATGGCACAGACTGGGATGGATAAAATTAAGAGGAGTTCTAGGAAATGGGAAGCCCCCACCCACCCACCCACTTCCCCCCTCCAAGAATGTCCTCTTTTTCAGGGGTGGGGGCAGAAGGGAGTGGGTGGAAATAAAAGAACTGAATCACCCTATTTACGGAGAAGCCAAAACATAAGAGTAAAATACGATACGGGCTTTTAAACTCCAAATTTGTATTTCAAATGCAAAATATGGACAGAAAATTTTAAGAGGAAGCCAGCCCAAGAGTTTTACTCACATGTCTATCTATCTAAACCTGTATATAATCCCTGAAAAAGTAGGTTGTATGAGCAGGCATGCTCTGATTTGACATTTCTGGGGAACGACAATAATCAACTGATATTCATCCAATCAAGGGTGCCTAAAAGCACTGCAAATTCTTGAGGTTATTCTCTAAAGTGAAAGGAAAATGAACTTATTACATTCAGTTGTTCTACAGGAAATGTAAGTGAAGGGGTCTAAGCCTTGGAGAACAAGTAAGCCGACCTGTAAGGATCCGATGGCAGGGCCGGGGATGCGCTCACCCTGGCGCTCACCCTGGATCCTCAGTATGACATCGGACACAGAATGGGATGCACCCCACTGTGTGCTGGGGGGTGAAGGGTGTCCTGCCGCCGGCTCCCACGTTTACCAATAAACTGTCTCTCCATCAAGCCTCCTTGTGTGTCATGTGGGAGTAACAACAGTCCCCATTTCACAACGATGCTGGGACAATCAAATGAGACGGAGCACCCAAAGGAGGAAGAATGCTTCGCAGACACGAGACAGTTTTATTAACCACTAATTTATTAATGGTTCAGCTATCATTTCCTATTTCGGAATACCTACCCTCTCTGGTTAATCAAGTTTGCTACCCCTCAACTGTGTTTGCCACCAGGAATATGCTCTTCAGTGATCCAAAAATCTTCAGAGAGTGTGACGATGAGTGTTTTAACCCGACGCGTTGGGAATCTGACCTTGATTAGTTTGCAGCTGATAGCAAAATTGTGTACGGTGAGAAGATAGGGACCGACAGATCGGAGGCTCAGGAGTGTCTTTCTTCAAGGGAAGGGACCACTGTAGAACCACCTCCCAGCACCTCACCTCCTTGCAGGCAGGACGGCTTGGCGGGGATCGGTGTCCACATGCGTGGCACACCCACCTGTCTCTCAGCCTGGCCCGACGCCTGGGCAGGCCCTTTGGCAAATACACACAAAAGAGTGGCCCTCCAAAGCGATCTCAAGGTAGGGGCATCCTTGAGAGTTTGGATCCAACGCCAGCTTTCACAAATAGAGCAAGAAGACGAGCCATCGTCTTGCGAAAGTATCCGTCTGGCAAGTCTCATTTAATTATCATGGGCAACTGTGTGATTGTGCTGGAAAGTAGGACAGAACACAAAAAAACAGAGCAACTTTAGGAGAATGCTATTTGCTGAAGACGGCAGGCGCCATAAGGCAGGTCTCTCTGGACTCCATTCGAGCGTCATCTCCTGTTCCAAGCCATCCTCAGCTCTCCAAAGCCAAGTTGGTTGGTCGCTCCTCCCTCTTCCCGCAGCATGCGAGAGCACCTGACACTCTTCCACAACCTCCTGGGCTGCCTCCTCCATCAGACTCTACGTTCTCAAGGGCAGAACCACATCTCCCTGATTGTACCTCTGACTCGGAGCAGAGTCTGACCTGCGGCAGACGCACAGAGGAAGAGCTGTTTGAACCACTAAGTCCCCTCTAAAAAACCAAGTTCCTCGGAGTCCAAGGAATTCGATTAGAATCCTAAGAAGGGACCTGGGACAAGAGCCCGATGCTGACTTTGCTGTGCTAGGGGCTCTATTCCCACTCTTACAAGAAGCTATCCACACACCTACCTGGCCAGGTGAATTCTTCTTTAACACGGAGATTGTAGGGGAGAGGGGAGGTCTACACAGAGATGGCAAAGGTAATGGGATAGGACTTAGACTGGAATCGAGGTCCTAAGATGATTCCCTCCCATCGACATTCCTTTTGTCACCCATCCTTCCTAACCCAAATGATGAGATTTCTTAGAGTGGAACTAAATATTAATTCAATAGAGAAAAAAAAAGGTTGAAAGGGAACCTTAATATGTTAACGATGGTTACCTCTGGGTAAAAGGATTATGGATAGTTTCTACTTTATTCTTTTGACTTATTTTCTCTCTCTCTTTTTTTTTTTACGGTGAGCGTGTAGCTAATAATGAACCAATAAAACATTTTTTTAATTAAAAAAATTGGAACAGCTCAAAATCACATAATCAATTACATTCAGCTCTGGCTACCAGTGCTCAAGAGCCAAGCCTTCCAGCGTGACGCCTGGTGGCAGTTACACAACGGCCAGGGCTGGCAAGTGGTGCAGTCCGGCTGGCCTACTTGTTCCCGTGTGCTGGTTAACTGGGCAGATTTTTACCCTACCGTCTCAGGCCGGCTGTAACCCGAGGCTAGCAGAGCAGCTTTGTCCTGCTGGTCCTTAGCCTGGCCAACCAAGCCCAGAAGGTCTCTAAACATCAATGTGTGTTCGAAGCACTAAGAAAATAAAAACTAAAAAAAAAAATAGACATTTTTGCCCCCTACCCCTACTACCCCCATCCCAGAGATTCTAAGCCAAGGATCTGACCCAGCAACGCACCTTTTTAGTGGACCTACAAAAAAGACCCTGACTGGGGGTAGGATGAGGGTGAGGCAAGAGAAGCACATCAGGTGTGGAATTTAAGAAGGCACTCACCCTCCTCAAAGTCTTGCAAATACAGGGCTGGCTCCTCGAGTGAGCTCTTCCTTAAATTCTGCACCCCAGGCGCCTCGCCCTAATCCCAGTCGTGTCCCTGACATTGGTGATGACAGACCTCATTTTGAAAAGGCTAAATTACACGAGTACAGTTTCAGCTCTACATGGCAAGTTGCGCCACGAAAATGTCTGATGCATGAAGAATGAGCTAGGTATAAATGTGATTCCTAAAAATGAAAATCTGGGCTCATCTGCATTTTGTAAGTGCCTCAATGCACCGTGTAAGGCATTAGATATGCATTTTGCTTTTAAAGACACATGACTGCAATTCTCCAGGTTAAATCTGAGCTGTGGTTTCTGAGATATTCGGCAATCGGCAGAATACCAAATGACACGTCCCCTAATTCCTCCCAGGTTGGAGGTTTGGATAAGCCTAAGAGGTGCATGCCTTATGTATTTGCTGCGGAGATTAAGAAAATAGCCTTTTCTCCTTTCAAAGCGTTGGGGGCCTGGGTCATTCCAGCGTCTGCAACGACACTGATCAACTTGTCGGCTGATTTCAGAGTGCTTACGGCTCTACTGAGAATTTACGGCTCGTGCAATTAGAAATCCTAACCATTTGCTGATTTACCCCAAAGATATGTGATCTTGAAAAAATGCTCCTTCTCACCACCATCAGGTCCAGACGGGAGGCAGGAACAAAGCACATTTTTAAGACACAGCACAGATAATAAGTGCTGGGGTGCGGTGGGAGGAGATGCACGAGTCATTGCTGGGGAAGCATTTCTGAGTTGAGCTCCCCTCTTGCCCCTGAGCGCCTCGACCAGTTCCTGCTAATAAACCACACTTGCCCACACTCTATAACCAGCAAAGAACATAGACTGAAGCCTCCACCAGCAATAAAAGACTAAATGAAGAGGGATCATAGGATGCATTTTGTTTTTACGATTGTGGGTCTGCTGTAGTTTTAATGGCCACACAGCAATGCTTTCCAGCAATTTGGCCCTATTTGGGCCTGGGTCAAATCTACATTCCAGCCATAACACTGCTATGAAAAAGGAACTGAAATCAGCTAAAACAGGACTATAAAAAATTTCAGATTAACTTTCACTTATATAAGGCTATACTTAAAAAACAAAAACAAAATAAAACTGGAATAGATGTCCTGAGATTTAGCCCCGCTGAATGGATTCAGGCTCCATGCTGGGCAAAGAGCCTACTTAAGATTCTCTCTCTCTCTCTCTCCCTCTGCCCTTCCCCATCCCTCTCTCCCCTTCTCTTAAAAAAAAAAAAAGATTGTTAGAAACTGGCATATGGGCACTTTGATAGAAGTTTAACAAATGAAACAAAACTTCAATTATAGTTGCCTGTATCCAGCGGTCTTTAACAGAGTTTTTACTATTAAAAAAAAAAATCACCCTCCTAACGCAGTGACATTCTAAACTAGGAGTAAGCTAACTTTTAGGGTAAAGACTGAGGTGTAAGCAATTTCGGCTGTGTGGGCCTTAGGGTCTCTCTTGCAAATACTCGACTGTGCCACTGTACCACAAAGGTAGGCAGACGTGCAAAGCCATGCACAGCTGTGCTCCAATAAACTTTACTTATGGACACTGACATTTGAATTTTATCTTCACGTCTCACAAAATCTTCTGATTTTTTTCGACCATTCGACCAAAAATCTTAGTTTATGGGCCCTCTGAAAAGAGGCTGCAGGCTGACTCCGGCCCTAGGACTACAGTTTGCCAACATCTGTTCTAAACAGCCAGTAAAGATCTCCTAGTCCTGA